CAACCATACTGTGTTGCCTTTCTGAGTCATCGGGCACTCCATGTATAAATAAAAATTGGAAGGCATCACTGATTCCTCTTTGTTAAAAGAGGCACTTGTGCGGCTTCTTACCCTACCATGTTGGAACACAACATCTCTCTCTTTACTTTTGGTGATTTTTGCCTTTCTGTCTAAATCAAGAGCTATATTTTTGTTCAAACTAAAAGAGAAGGGTGTCCCCAAATTGAGATTCCAGCTTATGAGTTTCCTTCATTTTTTCTGAGCTCAACTTTTTGGGGTGACTTTGGCAGGTTCCTGAGAACAGAGATTCCCCAAGCTCTTGTGCTAACTTTCAGGGGGGTACATTTACTTGCAAATATATCCCTCTCTATCTCACAATAAATGTTAAGCCAAAGTATTTCTAATTCAGAACAGGCTCATCATTCTTTCTGTAAAACTTTACAAGTATCAAACCTACTACCTGTAGGAACAGGCCTCTTTTTACTAGGTCACTTATCATCTGTGTCTTTATTAAGTGGAATTGTTTTTTCTGGAGGGGGTGTTGCTAGCCCTTGCAGCTAGGAGTTCTAGTCTAAATATGCTGGCATGTAAATTTTCTGAGATTTTCACTTCACTTTAGGAAAAAGCAGTTTCTTTTTTGGTGTCCTAGGTCGTTCGAATTAAGCTCAGAAGGTAACTCTGCAATTGGTTCCATCCTGTTAATAATTTCATAGGAGGGTTTGAATGCTATGCTTCTAACAGTTGCCACCACACTGCATTTGCAATCCTCAGTGAAAATGCAGAGTGATTTAATGTACTGATGATGCAGATAACCCAGATATTGAAGATAAGGTTTTCTGGGGCTAAGCTCATCTAGGGACAGAGAGCATGTGCCATTGGTCATCATTTGTCCTGGAAGCCTGAATACACTTAATGTTACTTAAAAAAATAGTGCTCATGTGGTATATAGAAAAACCAGCAAGCAGATGAATGAAATAAAACAAAACTAAATTTTTGAACTGTAAGATCAATTAGTGGTTACCAGAAGGGAATGGATGTGGGGGCGGTGTGTGTAAATCATGAAAAAAAGGGACAATGGTATGGTGCAGGGTAGCTGTGACCTTAATATGATATATACACACGTTGAATCTCTCGATGAATACCTGAACTTACATAATGTTATAAGGTAGAATTACTTTCATGAAATAAATGTTACTTTTGTTATGCAGAATTTAGACACATTTGATGCTTTTAAAACATGCCCTCCAATATTTTACCACTTCTCCCATTGAGCCCCACTGAAATCCCACTGAGAGGAGGTTCTGTGTCCCTTCCCCTTGAATCTGGGAGGGCTTGGGGGCACCTCCACCCATGGTGGACTGTCAGGGCTTCTACTTGGTTCTCACACATTACTCCTTCCAGACACTCTCTGGACAGTCCTTGGAATCCAGTGGTCAAACTCTGAGAAGCCCAAGCCCATGGAGAGTCCACGTGTAGCTGCTCCAGCTTTCCAGTCCTTCCAATTCAGGTGCAGACATGTCAGAGAAGAAACCTGATGATCCCAGCCCGCAGGAGTTCACATCTGCTCAGCTGGGGCCCTGGGCGTGCTGCCCAAATCCCCACCCACAGAATCAGCAAGTGTAACTCACTGTTACCAACAAGGAGAACTAGAACAACAGGCTTTCAAAATTTCTCTCCCATTCTTAGTTGTTCAAGCGTCCTACTTGCTCTTATCTTATTTTTGATGAACTGTGATGCCCCAAGGAATGTCAAGGCACAGCAATAAAAAGATAAAGATGACTAAGGGATTCCTGGGGCGGGGTGGCAGCTGAGAAAGAGCATGTGACGGAACCATAGATGCTGGTGCATAGCTCCTGGGGTTTGCCAAAAACAATTACAAACGTGGACTTTACAAAGAACGTGCAGATGCATTTCGTGCCATCAAATTGTTGCCACAACGTCACTTTTACTATGAGTAACCTCCTTATTGTTATCATCACCATCCTTACTTTATAGATGAAGAAACCAGAGTTCAGAGAGGGATCGTGAACTGTGCAAAGACTACACTGTTGTTTGGGGGTGGGCAGGAGAAAAGGGCCAGAACTCATGTCCCCCAGCCTCCCATCTCCTTGCTCGTCCTGGCACCAGTTGCTGTACAAGAAGGGAACTGCTGCCCCTTTGTGGCAGGTGGCCTTGCTTCATCATCCTGAGCTCTAACCTTTGGAGGAAGCCAGAAGTGCCCCTCCACTGAGCCGGGCCCCCAACAGCAGCCCTCCAGGGCTTACAGGTGCTCATGGATAGAGGAGCCAAAGAGAGGTTCGGCTGAGCTTTTCATTTCTCTGGGTTGAGCATGCAAAGACTTCCGAAGATTCTCAGTGCAAACCTCAGTCTACTGTGCTCTCTTTCCCCAAGTTTGATTTTTAAAGATAATTGCTTCCATTTCTCTGCTAGCCATGTTCAAACTTCCCTCTGGTCTCTTGAACATATGGGATATAGTTGTACTATGTGTTTTGATGCCCTTATCTCTTAATTCTATCATCTGTATCATTCTGGGTCAGTTTCAACTGACCCAGATGGGATGCATTTTCTGCTTCTTTGTATGCCTGGTAATTTTTAATTTGATGCCCGCCGTTGTGAATAGTATCTTACTGGGTACTGGATATTTTCGTTTTTCTGAGCTTTGTTCTGAGACTTGGATACGTTACTTCTGAATCTGACTTTCAAGTTTTCTTAGATGGGATCAGATGTGTTTCATGGAAAGTTGATATTTTCCTTCTACTGGGCACTCTTCCCTCTAACCTCTTGACACACACGTACTGGTTAGTCCTCAACCGAATACTTGAGAGGGACCCTCGAAAGGTCTGGAATTCTCTCTCTGTGCAGAACTGTCATCTCAGGTTGTCCGCCCTGAGAACTGTAGCTGTTCTGACTTCCCAGACTCTCAGCTCTGTCTCCTTAACTCAGGACAACCCCGGGGCCCTGCCTGGAGTTTTCTCCACCTGTGCCATGGCCTAGAAACCATGGCCCACATGACCCCCTGGGAAGATTATAGAGCTCACTTCATTTCCTCCCTGTCTTTCAGGGCCCATTGTCATTTGTTGTCTGGTGCCCGATGTCTCCACGACTGTGCTTTATGTAATTTTTTCCCTGAGTTTTACTTATTTTAGGTAGGAGGATGATGCTCAGCCCTGTGTGTCTAAGAGATTCATGAGGTAACAACACCTCATTGATGGCTGAAATTGGATCATCATTTAGATACCTTGTCTTATTCATCCATTTTCTTTCTTTCTGGAACTCTTCTTTCAGTATTATTGAATGGGATCCATTTGTAGATCCTTGAAGTACTTCAGTCACCAAAAAATCCTCTTGGATATTATTTGAGGCTAATTCGCCCACTTTGTGAAGCTGAGATTACAGTTTGAGTGCATTGTACACTTTATGGCTGAAATTCAGATGCTAATTCATGCCATCAATAGGCAAAAACATTCATTTTTCTTTATTTATACTTCAATTTTGATATTTGGATGCTTTTTTTCTGGTGCCTTATGCTCCTTATTACATGGATGCTTTGTGCCTATTGCTTATTAAGTTATACTGCTGCCTGGCTTTAATACCTTGTACTGGCGGCAAGACCTGCACAATTAGAAATCTCCTTTATCCCTTGCATTAAAATCAGTCATACATCCACTGTATTTCCTAGGAATCCTCTTTGTACTTCTCTCATCTAGTTATTTTCATTACAGAAATAGAGGTTCACTGTAAGGTGACATGCTTTGGGAAATCCAGAGAAGGAACAACTGACTCTTCTGGATTTGGAAGTCGCCCAAGGTAGCTCTTTAGTAGGAACTCCTGGGTCTATTGAGGGGCCCACCATTGATGTGACCCATCCTTCCCATGTATCCACTGGTCTGAGGTTGGATTCCCCAGGAAACATACTCTGGGATCGATATTTGGACACAGAAAATACGGGGAGGGTGGGAATGGGATCAATTCCTGAGAGACAGGAAGGAATAGATTCCTGGACAGAGGTAAAAATTGGGGTACAAGGCAGTAGCTTGAGATCTCAGTGCACCCCACAGGGAGCCCTGGAGCTTATGGCCACACAGAGTTGCTCCAAACTGAAGGAAGAGGGGCTGGTCTAGACTTTGCTTTCCCCTTCCCACATTTCCTTAGGTGCAGGTCACCCCTAGGAAGGAGACATGATGATGGGTGAGGCTGTTGAGGGTGATTCCCAGAGAAAGACTCATTTGAGGGCCACCAGCCTCCAGCACCCCCAGAAACCAGAGGAAGGAATTCTTGGAACAAGAAGTCACTTATTGACTCCTCGGTAGTGGTTTCAACTATCCATCAGCTCTGGAAAAATCACTCATGATTTGTTTTTTCAATTAATATTTTTGAAATGCCTACCATGTGTTTTAAGATCTGAGGGAAAAGAGGAGTAATGGCATTCAAACAAAACTCCAGTCTTTATCAAACCGTCACTCTTAGTGATGATAAAAGTACAGGTTTTCATAAGCAGTGAGAAGTAATATAATGTAAAATAATACAAAATGATTCTCCAACTTCATGTGATAACAAGTCATCTGGGAATCTGGTTAAAATGCAGACTATGATTCAGTAGGTCTGGGGTGGGACGAAGATGCTGCATTTCTGATAACTCCCAGCTAACATTGTTGCTTCTGGCCCATGGACCACACTTTGAGTAGAGAAGTTACAACAGGGTAGACTAGGAAGGTCAGGTGGTGGGAGAGTGGTCTTGGAAAGGTTAAGACCCCAGGAAAGAGAAATTACTTCATCTATGTCTTCATTTTCTCAACTGTAAGATGTGACTAATACAAGACAGTCTGGCACATAGTAGGCACTCAATAAATATTGGCTGCTATTGTGGTTGACTTTGGCTCATCTCAACCCATCAAGGTTGTTCTGCCACCACCTACCTCACAATCATTAATTGCTATTCCCACTGACTGCTGCCATACATTTTTTTTTTTAATTTTCCAAAATAAGAATGAGTGACTCACCTCTGCATGAGCCAACTGCTTTGGGTCCCGCATCTCATAAGGCTGCTGACTGGCCTCCTGATTGGTATTCTTGGCTATGTTCTCTTCATTGGTTTGTCAGCTAAAATTGGAGCACAGTATGGTCATACAGTATAAAGAAAGCTATGTAAGGTGGTTCCCTTAGCAAAGGCTCTAGGCAGGCTCTAAGGCTAATGCTTAACATGTGTGCCATATTAGGTCCTGGCCCGTTTTACTAGGGCCAGCTCTTTGTTTATTCATTTATTCTAATGGATAAAGAGCTCCTTGAGTATAGGCACCAGTTTTTCCTGACACTTATACTGTGTTGGACGTACAGTAGGAACTTAGTATTATTATGGAGGTTAACTAACAATACTAAGGAGGTACTATGTGGCAACATGCTCTGGAGGAAGGTTTGGAGGAACAGGCTGACAGACAAGGAAGGAATTTGAAAGACAAGGAGGAGTTCAGAGGATGGAGAGAATAATTTAAAGAGGGTCACTTGGATAAACAAAGTTTAATGGGTGAAAAGATCGATCTTTTAGGGAAAAATACATACCATGTCTTGGTTTGTTCAAAGATTAAAGTAAATTGGGTAGTCTTTCCCTGGTTGCAAATATTATTTGGTATTTTCTTGGTCTTTCCATGTAAGAGCTGGGTAGCTTACACTTGTGTGCATACATGCATACATACAAACACGCAACCTGTAACAAAGAGAAACATCCCATTAAAATGTCTTCCATGCGTGCATTTACTTCACTAGCTACAGAGGAATTAATACCCCACAAAGAGTAATTCAAACATGAAGAGGCAGCTTGCACAGAGGGTGTTTTTTTTTTTTGCTGGGATTCACAGATCTTATTTTAAGGTTGAAGCCCAGGTGTCCTTCCTGTTCTTTTTAACTGACGCTTGTGGTTGTGCAAGGACTACGGCTGGCCCTGGTGAACTGCCAGCCAAGCTCAAACAAACAGCCACTTGTGGCTGTGGACTTCCTCTTGGCTCTGCCTGGAGGCAGCAGTTAGTGTTGGGGAAGGTGGGGGCTGGAGGCTGAGGTCAGACTTTGAGTGGTGCTAATTCTGACTCTAGTCTCCTCATTTTCATCACTGTGGTGATATTGTAAGCAACTCCCTTGGACAGTAATTTCATCCAAGGAGAATTTGGAGGGAACAATGCATTCAACAGGGCCATCTCTAGTTTTTCAATGAATGTGACTTCTGATTTGTTGGGGAAGCCATTATTTTGGTCTTTGGGATACAGTTGAAGTTTGCTTCTCTTCTATTAAGAAAAACTCTGCTTAAATGGATGAAGCAAATGAGAATTAGGGGTATGTTTAACCCATTCAAGATCACTCTACACCTGAAAGACATTCTAACTAATCTCCCACTGCACTTTTATCCTCGAATCTTTACTGTACACCACACAATTAATTATTATTTTCATCATGTCATCACTAAAGTCTCTGTGATTCTTTGCCTCTAGCATGAAGTCTCTCCACCCTTTGCTCAAGTTTATTTGCCCTCCAATCTGTCCCCATTTTTTCCATCCTTGCATACTATTTTCCATACATAAATTCTTAAATCTAGCCAATTGGTAAACTCACTGTCCCTCTATCCACATTTCCTATCTCTAGGTCTTTGCTTATATATTTCCCTACTGGCCATACTTACTTATTTCCTCTCTGAAGTCACTGTGTTTCAAATTTGGCTTAAGCCTCACCATCTCCAGCTTCCGAATGGCTCTACCTCCAAACTCTCCCAGCCAAGATTTCACTGCATCTCAATCTTGTCTGGATTGCTCATCAACTTTTGATGTGTTTAGACTCTGTTCCTCAGCAAGTCTGTTAAACTCCTTCCTAGAGGGCAGAAATTTTACCTTCTGTACAAAGCTCTGTATTTTGGGTCTCCCTGGTTGCACAAGGGATGAGACACAACTATGAAGCAATCTGCAGTCACTGCAGCCCAATTCGATCCCAGCCAGGGAGCTATCACATGGTGCACCAGACCTCTCCTGACTCGCCCCGCTGTTCCCTCAGCAGTGTATTTCAGTCAATCTGCCTGTTCTGCTCCCCACTCTGTCTCTGGTGAATCCTCTCACCCCCCACCCGGCACCTCTGGCCTATACCCAGTTCTTGCATGCATAAATAAATAAATCCTTCAAAAAAAAAGTCTGTATTTTACTAAATTACTAGCAGTTTACATGAG